AATGTAGTGGTATACCCTTATACATTGTCGTGTGCTCCTTAGAACATAAAACTTCCCCGGCTTGTTATTATTATTTCCCGTTTAGGGGCCTCGATCGGTTTAAATATCAGGGTCACCCGCCGTAGTCGTCATCGTTGGCGAGACGGCCTCCGCCGTCATCATTATAATAATAGCCCTTTTGTCGTGAATGCCAAACAAAACGTTCACGTTATACATGGGTACGATTAAGACAAGGAAAAAACATCGACTGTATTACTATAGTGTGCTATGGTGGACATGGAATATGATTGCCATTCATTTCATAAAAAAATCACTCACTAACGGAGCAAACCGTCAACAATACTCAGTTCACATCAGTTTATTGTAATTTTTTTTTTGTTTTCACAGTACAAAACATAGTTGGACAGAATACGTCACAACGGTTGGACGTAGAGCAGAGTTTTCTACATAATTGTTATAAATTTGAGTTAAAGAAAAAATATATACAACGATTAATAAAGCATATATTGGACTGTCAGTAATTAATAAATTCCAAAACTACTAAACCGTTTTCAATTCAATAGATTTCTTGAGACTTGGAAGGTGTTTACATATTATTTACTCAACCTCTTTAGGTTGCCATAGACTATAGAGTGGCTTACACATGAATTTAGTTTTCGACTCACGCAAAAAGAATAAATTGTTTATTTATTTGTAAGGTTGCTATTGGTTACATATTATAATATACTATTATAATTATTAGTAGAAATATGGCAATTTAATACAATTTTTTTTTTTTAAATCTTTGAAACGGGCAACGGCGGGTGAAGCAGCTAGTGTAATATAATTGCAGTACAATCATTATCAAATTCAATTTTTAACAATTTTCTCAAAAACTAGATACCAAAATATTCAATACCGTTATAAGCGTTGAATAGCGTTTATAATTTTCAACAAATTTTATCAATAAAAAGTTCTGTGGTTATTGGGGATGAAATTTTTTTGCTTAAAATAAAAAATCAACTAACTGTAAGCTACGTTTTTATGCGTAGGATATCAAATTAACATGAATTTAATATTGAAATCACAGTTGAATAGTTATGATAAATTTAATTTCTGTAATAGATTCGCATAAAAAAGAAAAAACATATATGTTAATATACATGTAGGTACTGCCTAATATTTTCCATCTAGTAACATTAAAGCTGCATTGTTATAAATTACACAATACTTACATAAAATAAGTATTTTTATTTATAAGAACACAATATTTATGATACAAAATATAAAAAAAAGCGTAAAGCCACAATTCACAAATCTAGTACACAAAGAAAACACTGCAATAGAGCGGAGAATTTCACAAAAAAATAAATGCAGTGCAACTCGAAAAATTTTGAGGCAATAGTAAATTGATTTATAGACATAAAAAAGTTGTTGGTCTGCATGCTTTTAGGACGGAATACATGTATAATGTATACTGAACAAATACAAAATACGCAATGCCGTTAAAGAGATTTAAAAGGAAAATCTTATATTATTGGCGTGAATATATGTCGGAAAGATATTACATATATTATAACTTTTGTCATATAAACCACTTATTTTTCATATTACTAGTACCGTAAAATGGACAAAATTCTATTGCTTAAGAATGATAGACATAATTCAAATTTGACAGACGAAACAACAAAATAAGCCTTACATCTAACTTTTTCGTTATTCATAAATATTGAAGAAAAACTTTTTATGTATGCCCTTATAATAGATATTATAACATATAGCTTCTTTGTTATTGAAATTTGACATGTTTTATTTGGTAATACCGTAATGGTTATAGTACCTTAGGTTTAAGGACCACTTAATATGAATATTGTAATTTTGTAAAGTTAATAGCAAAAGAGTGCTTACACATTTTGAGGGCAAAATGTACGCATTTCATTTTTACCAATTACGAAACTTAGTAAAAAACAATAAAACTGAATATTTTATAGTATTTATTACAATAGGTAAGTAATTGCCATGTAATAGTATATTCTATGATAAATATATGAATATAGACATATAATATATGAATGTATATAGTATTATATTTATATGTATCAAACAGCTAGATGTTTATATTACAGAATCGAATACATATTGAGGCCTTAAGATTTCATGAGGCTAATACGACATAACGAAAAGAAATTCGATCCCTAAGAAATACTTGGGAAATCGATTATGTTGAAACCAGTCAAGTGGACAGATGTTTAATTATAATTAATTAATAACAATTGTTTAATTTTAAGTGTGGATTTTGGTATATATAAATATTTTAGTGAAGGATAATAGAAAATCTTACACCACACTATAAAATACTGATCATGTTTCGTGGATCATCCCATAGACGTGTGTGAAAAATATCCGAACAAAGTATTCAACACCGGGTGTTCAACACTCGTCACACTTTATTCACTAAATAGGCCCGGGATCCTGATATATTTTTATTATTATTGTTGATGTAGTTATTATCAATCATTTGAAAATTACTATGTAATATTTATAGGACTTCAAAAAAAAAAAAACCTAAAATTTTTTTTGCAAAACTAATCAATATAGTTACAAACTCTATAATATAAAATCGCTATCGCTTCGCTAACAAATGTATTAAACATTAAACTCAATTCCAATTCTTCGATCAACATTTCTACACGATTTATTGTTATCATTAATATGAACTGAGTGAATTTTATTATATAAATAATTAGTCAACACTGTGATTTATTACAAAGATATAATAAATATTAATACATATTAATTAATGCATTAAATTAAAGTTATGCGTCTAACGAGTATAGTTGTTGCTACATTGCATTCGTCATTTACAATTTCGGAATCTATAACTTGGTTTATTTCAATTTGTAACATAGCTACATAAGACAGCCTTTCTTGTCCCACAGTTGTTCTGAGGTAAGTTTTGATCCTTCGTAAGCAGCTTCCGTAAGTCTTTGTTTACGGCGTTTGTAGGTATTTTAGAAAATAGTTGTAAAATTCCAAATAATAAAGGGAACCCATGTTTAATTTTAAGTTGTAATTTCGAATCGAGTTGTTCAAAAAATATTTTTTAAATGTATTGAATATTTGAGTATAATACGTTTTGTAATATAGTCATAATTAATATAAATATAAAAACCACATACTTAACAAAAACTAAAGTATATCACTGTTAAACATTTACATTTCATGTTTTGTGTAAAATTTAAGTAGTAAAGTGTAAGATTGTAGTGAAATGTATGTACCTAAGAGTCAACCATTTAGGTACCTTATTAAAACGTTATTAGTTCTAAGTTATCTTATAAATAATGGAAGGTTTCCTTACAAATAAGGAAAAAAAAATAGTAAATACTTGAAATAACAAATGTAATACATTTTAGTCATAGACTATAGGTATATCCATATGTTAAAAATAACAATTTAAGTTATCTTAAATAAATGATAAACCAATTTGTTCTACATAGGTAATGCTTTTAAAATTTAAAATTATAGTCCATTATAATAAGGTTATACACGGGAGCGAGTTCAAACCAAGAGAGAAGGCGATTGTAGTCTATAGGCACGCAAATAAGGGGGTTAGGGGATTGACCACCCTAAAATATGCTATGTTTATGATAACAATTTGTACTCTTTCGATGTTGAATGTTTCATTTTCCCTGATGAAACCTTTAAAACTGTACCAAGTTAGTTAATGCATTTACATACTACAAAGGAATTTACATGAATAATATATTTCCTCTAGTTTATTCATTGACTGCTCATAAAAATGAACAAACCTATAATATAATTTATCAAGAACTTGAAAATTTGCAGAACAATATAACTTGACATTAAATCCTTAATTTACAGTATGCGATTTTGAGTCAGCAAACATAAATGCGTTAAAGGAGTTGCAAGAAATTTTTGATAACTTCAATGAAAGCATTGTTGACTTTGCTATTTACATAATGAGGACGACTACAGCATGGTAGGAGACAAGCTATCCCTCCAGAAATGTGGAATGCATATGAATTGTATTATGTATTAAGCCAAAGACAGAGAACAAACAATGTAGTAGTAGGTTTCTATTCAAAAACTGGAAAAAATCCTATTAAATCATCATTTTAATACTTGGAAGTTTTTAGAAAATATAAAAAATTGAAGAAGAAACCGAAAAATACAATTATTCAGATAAGGGATGGTCATACCCATACCAAATCACCAGTTCCCAAAAAATGTACTGCAAATCAGAAACGAGTTGATAATATATTAAGTAATTATATTCATTGCAAATAATAGAACGAAATCACCGTATATCTTAAAGCATTGGTTCGCCACTTAAAACTATACAATGATCCAAATACTGATGAAATAAACTAAATTTACAGTAAATATATGGTTCTTATTCCTTTGGTTTTCTTCCGACACAGACTTACAAAAAATTATAGAAAAGTGCATTGGACATTAAAAATAATGGATAAAATTACATTGGATGAACATGTATATTGGATATAACTGCATAGTTGGACTAAGCAAAAATTGAACCAATATTAATACTCCTTTAGTCTTATGCAACAATTTTTTTTTGAGAATGCTATGGCTCCACCCCCTCCCCTCCTCTGAATACACCACTGGTTATACAAATATACAATTCAATTAAGGTATGAAGATCATGTTTTTTTCATAATAGTTAATTTTATCAAATATACGTAAGTACAGACCAGTAAACAGTGTGCCAAGTGTGACAATATCAATTTTTGGCATTATCAATGTAAAATATAAGAAGTTATTTTTATAAAAATAAATGAACATTCATTTTTTAACAAAATGTGTTAATATTACTTATATGACAATTTTAACTTTTATGTAATATTTTAAACTTATCACTAATAAGTTATTAGTTTTTCAATTACCCAATCACCACTATTTATTAACTATTATTTACTAACAATAATTAATTAATAATTGAATCAATATAATTTTTTTAAGGAAATGTTAAATCTACTTACAGATCATCAGGTGTTAAATGAACAGGTTCATCTGTAAACTCTGGTGGGAAATTGGCAAGGTCACGATCAGAATCTAGTCGAGGCTTATATGGAGGGCTAACTTGCTTTTGTTCTAACTAAAATAATATAAATTATTTGATTAAATTGTTTTAGTGTTATGGTAATATTAACGATTTAAAATAATAAATGATAATTTGAAGTTAGTCATTATGAGGATTTACCATTTCCCAATCAATAGATTTAAAGAATGGGTGAGTTATAATATCATAGAAGCCAGTGTCTCGATTACAACCCAAGCGATCCACAGGATTCTTATTTAAAAATCCTTTCAAAACTGATGCTGCTTTTACGGAAAGTGATCTCGGAATACGAATAGTTTTTTCCAAAATAACTACAAAAAAAGTTTAAAACAATGAGAAAACTGTTTTTGAAATAACTTTTATTTATATTATATTACCTTGGAATAGATAATCTTCAGTATTTTGATCAGGATTTTCTGATGCTCCAGCAATATCAAACGGACTTCTGCCAGCCAACATTTCATACAATAGAACTCCTAAAGCCCACCAATCCACACTGAAAATACCAAACAAATTTAGCTTAACTTCAAGTATATTATTGGATATATTGTAAAGTAGTACTATTTTTTAAATATTAGTATATATAATTTTACTCTTTGCAGCAATAGAACATACTGACAATAAAATAGATCTTCTGTGCATCCCCCAACAACACCCCACCATAGTGCCAGTGTTACTGGACTCGATGGCAGTGTTGTGTAGGAATGCACAGGATTGGCTTGTACTCTCACTGGACAGAGTAAAGGCTACTATACTTAAGTATACAGCATATGTTTCATTCAAAAACAAGAAATTTATAGTTATTAATAACCATGCCTATATCAAATTTAGTTTTAAAAAAATGTATACCTAAATCCATAATCTTCTCCTCTTAAAATTTCTGGAGCAATGTAATTAGGAGTACCGCAGAATGTGCAAGTTGTATCTCCAGGCCTTATTCCTTCTTTACACATTCCATAATCCGTCAATTTTATATGGCCCTCGTGATCAAGTAATACATTATCCAATTTTAAATCTCGATATATTATACCTGAATAACAATGTAATAAAATGTATCATACATTAAAATATAATATACATACAAATAAAAAGTTTGAATTATAGATCACTATACAATTTTTCACTAATTATGAATAAGTATACTAAGATGTTTAATTCATTAAAGAAAAATAATAAATAATTATATTAAGTATTTATTCAGGAAAATAACTATTACATAATATATCTATAAAAAATAGAAAGTTTACTTAAAACTAGAATTAAACAATCAAAATGATTCCTAATATCTGTGTTCATATTCAAGCAAATAGCATTTATTACTAATTTTAGAAACTTTGCTCATAGAAAGAGGGTAATATTCCAAATAAATATTATTAATTAATATCTCCAGTAAATGCCTGTAGATTGACAAAAATAATTTAAATGAACTGGAAAAAAAATCAAACCAAATTATTAGTATGGTCACTGTCCATTATAATCCATAAGAGCTAAACATTTTTTTTAAATTAAAACAATTTATATGCTATTTAAAGGCAAAAACACAAACATGGACATTAATACCCTTTGTTAAATGTAAATTTAATACTACATTGCAGGTGTGTAGATAGCAATTTGGAGGGGTGACACCATATCTGTAGACAATTTTCACTACATACACTGTAAATTCTATATTTATATATACATTTACAAATTTTTAAAAAAAAACCATTTTTGCTATAGACATATGTTGGGAAAATATTCCCATCTTCCATATCTTTTTTTTTTAGTTATTCTAGGTTATTTTGAACAAACTAAGAACTTTTCACATTCGATTGACCCCCAAAGTAAAAACTAAAATACTAGTTCCAGTTTGCTAGCAGAAACCACTCAAATTAATAAAGCAATTTTTCTGTAAAAACATAGTAAAACCAATAAATTCATTGTCCCACTCAGAATCTAAAAATGCAAAAATATTTCATGATAAAATACATTTTTATGTAGGTAAACAATTTGAACAAAATATGCTATATGCTCAAAAATACCAGAAAACATTATTTTTTTGTAGGTTCAAGTAATAATGTAAAACTAGCTGTTCTCCTACTCAATTTTTCATGGAGTAGGTAATAAAAATAAACATGCAAACGCATAAATTCACAGTTTTTATAATGAGTAAATATCAATGCACAAAAATCATTTGTTTATGAATATAACGGATCAGTTAGGTCAAAATAAACTATCTGCACAAATACAGATAGTAGGATGAACATCAATTGAAATTATTTTGTTATTTATATACTCAAATTATTCACCATGTACAATATATATACAACAGTGTATTTGATGGCTCTTGGTTTTTTAATTTTATCAATTGGTATATGGTCTTTCCACATATCATGTAAATAGATTTGTAACAAAAAAAGTTACTTAATTATAAAATAGAAAATGAATTAAAATATTAATCCTATAACTGTATCAAGGATTTCATGAATTAATATAAAAATATTACATTAATTATTAAGAAACAATTGATTACCTTTAGTATGCAAAAAATTCAAAGCTAAACTAATTTCTGATGCATAAAATCTAGCATGTTCTTCAGGCAATCGCCTTTGCCTTTGCATATGAAACATTAAGTCACCTCCACGAACAAATTCAATCACAAAAAATAATCGGCTGGCCGTTTGGAAGCAAGAATGGAGTCCTACCAAAAATGGATGATTAGAGGCAGTCTCAAAAACATGTTTCTCTGTTTGTACCCAATCAATATCCTAAAATTAAAAAATACATATTAAATATTTTATATGTAGTCTCAAACTAACCTATTATGTTATATTCATGATGTCACAATCTTAGAAACTTATATTTATATAATATAAACACTAATAAGTAATATATTATAAAAAGTGCAGTGGGTTGTAGGCAGTTAGGAGTGGGTATATTTTGATTTTAAAAGAATGATAAATTATTGATTTCGCCAAGTACAAATTGATTCATACAAAAATGGTCAGTTTGCAATTTTTTATGTTATTATTCACAATTTATAAGTAGAATTAAGTAATACAAAATATTTTAGGAAACATAAATAAAATTAAGAAATAAAAATATTTTAGGAGTTAAAATAATTAATAGATATTAATGAACTAATAGGAAATGTTTTTCATAAAAAGGCCATAAAATGTTATTTGACAATAAAACATATGGTAACATACAGAATGCTTAAAATTAAAAAAAATATTGGACTTTACATTATAACAATTCAAAAATAATAGACTACTTCCCTAGAGATGTATAGCATAGTTCTTTAATAATTAATTGTAAATAAACAAACTGTGGGCTTGTTTATTTAACATCAACATTTATTTTGATTTTTAGCTATTATTAAATTAAAATATATTAATTACTTCATCATCTGTAACAAGTGCTTTTTTTATAACTTTCATAGCATAGATGCATTTGGTTTTTTTAAGTTCAACCATTAAGACTTTGGCATAACTTCCACGACCAATAACCCTAATTAGCTCAAAGTCGGCAATAGAATATTGACGTGAGACTCCAACTTCTTCATCACCTGCTATAAAATATATAATTAACAATTAAATTATATCGTAACAATAAAATTGTGAAATACTACTTTTCGCTTGTGGATCTTCAATGGGTACAGAATCAGCTGATTGATCAATAACAGAATTTTGATCAGAATATTCTTTTAAATCCGGTAAAGCAGTATCAGAGCTAGGTGTACCTAAACATTAATACAGTGTTCATGAAATATACATTATCATTTTTATATAATATATTTTTATAATTACTTAGAGATGTCTGTGAGTCACCATTGGTGTCTTCATTACCTACAGGATCATTAGTGCAAGTTTTTTTACCAAGCTTGTGACATTTTTTGTGGATAAGCAATTTGCATTGAATACATTTGAATCCTTGCCGGCCTAATCCCCAAATTCGATCATGACAGTATGCACAAAATGCTCGCTAATTATAAAACAAATAATAATTAATCAGTAAATAACTAATAATGTTAGTTACATATCACATTTAATTGAAACAAAATGTTTAATATCACTATTACTATATTACATACTACATTATTGTCATGTACTTGATGTTTAGTAGAAAAACTGCAAAATATTCCCATATTTTATAATTTTATTGAAACCAATGAATAAGTGTTTAAAATAAAGAACGCAGAACATAACATTCAAACTTATCTTATTTGTTGAGAAACATATATAGCCTTTAAAATTAATTATTATTATTATTTTTTAATAACTAGTTCTTATTTAATTAAACGTCAACATACTTTTTATCTTAATTTTGTTGTATACAGAATACAGATACACATAAAAACTAAATGACCTAAGACCTCTTTCTAACGGAAAATATAGTTTAAATAATTTAAAACTATTAAAAGATATTAATTGCTTAATAACACATAAAATAGTACAAGTGAACTCAATGTTTAACTGAGTATTATGTTATCTTAATTATAAAACATTTTTAAACTATATTATACTGATTCAATAACACAAAATGGATCAGTAGTACCTATTGTAATTAGTTAGTTAATTACAACATTCTTTAGATGTACCTTGTTTAAAAACTTTAAATATTTTGATGAAATTTTACTATAATGTAATTCCCTCAAGTCTAATTAAAAATTAAAAAAACATTTTTTAAATGGCTTATCGTCTCAAAGTAGAGTTAAGCAGAAAATCAATATTGAAATTAATACAATTTATTTATTACACATACCCTGTTAAACCTTTTAGGTTGAAAAATATGTCCATTCACTCGATATAGTTTTCTCCACCTTCTGGCTCCACGTCTGTATATACTACCTGCAAATTATCAATGTATTTTTTCCATAATAAGATAAAAATCTATATTTATCTATTTTTTTTTTTCATATTTTAAATTCATTAACTTACGATCTTCCCCTTGACAAGGCATTCCTGGTGCTTGTGGTACATTAGGAAATACTAAAGAAAATTTTTAATATTAATGATAAATTATTATATGATATTATTAGTAATTTAAGAAATGTTATGTATTGCAAATATAAATAAAAAATTAATTAGTCTACCATCTCACACATTCCAAATAGAATAAGGGCAAAAATTTTAAAATCTAGTATTATTATTCCATGTTCAAGCACGGAATTTAAAAGATACTAAATATTGATAAAAATGGATGTAGTTCTTACATGTATTATATAAAATAAAGAATTTGTTAGTAAGGTCTGATTGATCAATTGTACCTTTTCAAATCTCTTTAATTATACGATAGATGTTTTAAATTATGATTCTATTGTATTAAATACTGAGAAAAATATATTAAGAAGAATTATACTTCAAATTTAACCATGTATCTATTTATATTACTGCACTATTGCATTACTCAATCATAATTTAGTAAATTAATATCAAAATATATGTAATTATAATTTAATTGTTAACATGCAGTATTTGTGCTTAACGGAACTCAAATTTTAATTCTATGTCCAACAAACTAGCAATTTAAACTATACAAAATTTGTTAAAACAAAAAAATTAGGGAGAAATATTTAATATAATATACATAAGCCATCAAGTATATAGCTTTTTATTTAAATAAGTTTAGTATAATATAACCAGGTGTATTTGTATAAGTAACAAGTATATTATTTTAAATATTATCACAAGTAGGTAAATTGAATTATTTTCAAATAATAATGAATTAGAATTACTACTTATACTTTACTAACTGTCCACTAATATAGCTACTACTACAACTACTACTACACATGAATACACGCATACACACCCACACACAACATATCCGTATATTTACAAACGATTATGATTTTTTTGGCAACATTACCATTGTATTTGTTACCTGTGGCGTAAACATGGTCTTCATCGTCAGATATAGAAGGAGATGGTGATGGGTCATGAACACTGCAAGGATAATGTTGTACAATAGGAGTAGATTGGTAACCAAAACAGTTTATGTTTTGTCGCATAGCCATTGTCGATCCACATGAATCCGGCAAACTTAGAGAAGTAGGTGGAGCATACAAATGGCGTGGTGGTGGTGTTCTAGGTCGCGAAGGAGGAATAGTCTGATTTAACAATAGAGATAATGAACCCGGCCCTGTGAATTCTATATCTCCAAGTGAAGGACGACGGTAAAATGTGGAGGTATGATGATAGTCATCATCTTCTATGGAACCAAAACTACTAGTGCTGTGCAAGGACTGATGTTGGTAGTACGATGTAGATGGAGGAGCTGGAGTGGAAATTGGTACATGATGGTTATAAAAACCTAAAGATGACGATTGCCGTTTTGGCGACTTGCCTCGATCAGAAACAGTAGATGCGCTCCAGTAGCCCCAAGCCATAATAGACTAATTCTTTTCAACTTTCTTTTAAGTTCAAAATGTCCGTATTTACACTCTAACTAATGAAACTTTAAATAAATGTGTGTTCAAAATTCGTGTTTTGTCGAATTAAAAATAGGGTAAAAAGTAAAGCTAATGAGTCCGGAAAACATTAAGATTTTAAAATATGGTTAACAGGTAAGTGAAAATAAAGCTGTAATTTCCGCTCCTTAGAAATGTATTATTAATTCGTGAATATGTTTAAAACAAAAAGAAATATTTGTATATAATTGACTAATGACTCAAGATAGAATAAAAACCAGAACAAAGTATAAATAACAATTGATCCGATAATCCATGAATGTCAATTTCATTGACAATTGATCGAACATGGGTGGAAAGTTTTATTATTATTTATGATGATTCAAACAATAAATAAATATAATATATATAAGTCACTAGAATTCGCAAAGTATGTTTTTATTTAAACAAGTGTAAAACGCGTGAAAGAATTACCATTAATTGAATAATCTAGATAAGTTATCAACGAATACGTAAACGCACAACCCGTCACACAAATACGAACGGACACGTTGTACGCGATACGGGAAAGCGTTCATCAACTACCGCGCAACCCGACGACAAATTGAAAAATCAATAATAATAATAATAGAAGTAGAAAAAACCTACAGTACCGACGCCCTACGAGTAGCGCGAAACTGTTTGTTTTCAACAATTATTATTGTCATCATACCGAACGCGTAACGACAGAATTATTATTTTTACCGTCGACATAATAAACCACAATGCGATGTGTATTGAGCTTTTTGGAGACACAACAAGCACTTCTTGTACCACTGGCGGCCGTAAGGAGGTTCCACCCTAAAATCAAAACGCCAGAGCGCCGAATCCGCCGTAACGTACGGTACTTCCCCGCACGTCCCGTTCTCTAAGCCGTTGTAGTGGTAGAGCATAGAGGGGCGGAATCCCGCCTGATTCCTAACACCCTCACCGCAACTGTTCAAGGGTACCCGTGACCCATGTACCTAACCGGAAGGCGGTGGGGACATGAGTGCTGAAGTGGGTGAGGAGGGCACAAATAATAAGGTTGTATATTGTATTGTAGTTGCAGTTTTGCCGCGTTTGGCCGAGACAACGAGACTTAAATTTTGAGTACCATTAACATGCACATTATTGCTATTATACATAACACATATATTGTCGTTTTAAATAATACCCTACTTGGCTACTGGCTATGTGTCAAAGAACATTGGAAAGAATTTGATTAGACTTGTCGAGTGTTTGGTTGGAAGTGGGGGGGAGGGGGGGTGTTGGACTTACCGTGTATCGTTAATTCGGAATCTTTATTGAGTTCGTATAATCGAACGGCTTCGTCCAATTCCATTTGTGTAGATAATATACACGGATCGCCTAAATGTAAAAATATAAATGACAGTCAATATCAATTCAATTTCATTAAAACACGCTTACATTTTTTAAAAAGACAATCTAAATATAAATATTTTACCTAATTTAATTTGTGATGTTTATTCTTTTTATCATTAATATTCAATGCATGCAAAAAATATACTCATTAAATATTGCCTATCTGCTCGATATGCTAGAGCAAAAACATTTTTATGGAATTATTTGAGTTAAATTTTAATTTTGAAACATTAAATATCATAAATTTAACCTAAAAAGTGTAGTGCTATCGCCTATCAATACACTATAAATTTGTTTACAACAATTAAATGGAGTGTAATGAATATTTGAAGTTGTCCATAATATGATTATTATACAATGATACCTCTACCTTATAAGTTGGAAAATGGGAATATAAAAAAGGAATAACAAAAAAAAAATGTTATCAATAATTATCATACATTAAGGCTATTCATGGTAAATGAAAAACTAATTAACAATGATAAATTGATAAATGAGTAATCACTATTGAGTTAATGTAGTTAAATACAGATCCTGACATTTTAATAATATCATAAGGCCAAATGGTTTAGTTTAATATATCACATTAATAGTAACAATGGCCAATGGGGTCAATGATATATGTTTTTTTAAATAATTAACAAGATATTTAAAATGTCTAAAAATTAGTTAATTTTTATGGTACAGTGTAAAAACAAAATAAAATAGGTATATTAGCAATATTTTTTTTTTTATTATTGGTCTTTTAGGTTCGGCAACAATGACTATTAGCTTTTTGTGGGGGTTATGATTGGTTGAGGAATACGTATTTTTCTGTGGGGCAAGGATTTTTTCCCCAAGTGTTCGGGTGGTCATCCATCCTGGAGCCAATGATGTATTGGTTGGTGCTTAACCAACACATATTAGTGACTGGCCAACTACTGCACCATACTAGGCCCAACTTTTGTTGTTATTTAACATAATTATAATTTTATTTATTTATCTAGTTACATTAGTATTTATAATATTTATATACATAGGAAAAAATAGACCAAAAATGTAAATAATAATCACTGCATTTTATATCTAATTCAAATATTTTTTTAAAAGAGCATGGAACAAAGATTAATTAATTAAATTGGATATTGGTCAACTATATTCAAAATCTGTTAACAATTTTAGTATTCCCTAAAATGCAGGTCTTGTTGTGCATATGCTTATTGCACACATTGTGTACAAAGATTGTTATTCGTTTCTAAGTGAGCTCATAGTATTTTTAAATAGAAATATTTCACATGCTTAAAAATATATATTTTTTAAAAACCATTGTACAAACATAGACCATTTGTACATTAAAGTGTGATAATAAATCAATTAAATCAAATATTAAAGCTAACAACAAATAATTGTTGCTGCTGATCAAAAATTAGAGATACTTCATGTCTGTAAAACAGACATAATACATGTAGGACATCTCCTTAACATAATTTTGATATTAAAATGCTTATAAATAAAATACTTTCATTAAACATTAGTTTACATAGGCCCAGCCAATTTAATATATTAAAAGATTTTAATTTTCCAAAAAAAATAATCAATCTCATTAAAGCCAGCATGGAAAATTCAGAGATAAAAATTAAAATTGTCAATTCTACATCTCAATTGTTTAAAGTAGCCACTGGTCTGAGACAAGGGGACGAGCTCTCTCAAATTCTTTTTAACCTAGTACTGGAAAAAAACATAGTTAGAGATGAACATATCAGAAGGCATAACATTAGGTCAGTCAAAGATAGGTCTTCTGACATATGAAGACAATATTGGCATCATAGGAGACAGTATAGAGATAATGAAGACACATTGTAAGAACCTAATGGATGCTGCAAGTAAAGTCAGTCTCATGATAAATGACGAAAAGACAGGATATATGAAACTTATCGGAAGGGATAGGATGTATCAACGAGGAGAAAGTGTGGATATGGAAGGACACATTTTCTACAGAGTACCACAATTTAAATACTTAGGTGTTCTAGTAACTCAAGACAATGAGTTAAAGGTGGAGGTATCAAGAAGATTACAATTAGCAAACAAATGCTATTTTTGGAGCCGGAACCCTGCTAAAATCTAGGTCGATATCTGTAAATTTAAAGATTAAAATGTATATGACATTAATACGCCCCATCATCCTGTATGGCTCAGAAACATGGGTACTAAGAAAGGCAGAGGAAGTAAGATTAGACACATTTGAAAGAAAAGTAACCTGACGAATATATGGACCATATCTGGACCCTTGAACTGGAGAACAGAGGAGCTTCAAAACATGTGCCAAAAACTATGCATATCAAGGAAGCCGCAAAAAGAAGGCTAATGTGGGCTGGACACATTAAGATTAGTTTATTATAATCTTATTAGAAAAAAAAAAAATTATAAGAAAATAGATTAAATATAAAGGTATAAATTGTATTTTTTTTTTAAGTCTCATATTTTAGTAATAATATATTCAAGTTCATAAATTATATATTAACGATATAATGTATAAAATAATTGAATTACCTTCTTCATCAACCCATTTCATAGTGAAATCTTGATCGGATGAAAACCGACAAATAACCATCATTTCATACCGCAGTTGGTCAACGGTTATTTTTGGATCTATATAAGTAATCATAACTTCCCTAAAACAAATATTTTAAATGTTAGTAACTAATTTTTTGATTAATCAAAAATATATAATTGTATTTTAACTTACCCATTGAAAGCCGTTTTTACACGGATTTCAGGGACATCCACAGTAGGCATCCTAAACATTAAAATACACAGAAATGATTAAACAGATACTAATTATGAAAAGAAAAAGAAATATATATTAGTTATTAAGCACTAATAATTATCATTATTGTTTTTATGAAATATATGAACTAATAATTTATTGTTACCAATCCGGAGTTACAAGTATTATTAGTGAAATAGAGTTTTACTCCAATCTGGACTATTTCAACAATTCTTTATCTTAGTAATAGCGTATAAAACATTTTCAACATTATCAATGTGTTAGCTAAAAATGTACTGAATTAAATATTTATAAAAAACGTTTGTTATATTATTATGTCCCATTTTTCATTGCACATACTGCACAGCAAAATAAAATGAATATAATTGTATTACAATTTTAAAATAGGAATGATTTTTTCATTATTTCTAACAGTAAAATATTTGGAGTAACAAAGGGATCCAACATAGCACAATAAAATACAATGGTGTTTAAGAGATTGAAATTAAACCTTATCAAAAATACCTAACTAGTTTGGATTATAATAATTATTTTAACTGTTAACACCCACATATGAATAATAGATACCTATTGAATTTTTTTTTCAATTTTATACTTCAACAAAAATAAAGGAAAACAATTTAGGGGACTTTTATTTTATTTTTAGAAGAAAATATACAATCTATATCTTAGACATAATAAGTATATGTGCGATAAGGGAAACAAAGAATAGGGTGATATACATAAATTTGAGGAAAGAAGCCACCCACTGATGACACTTTCGTCTAGGTTTAATCATATGCGATTTAGTTATATGTTAGTATTTATATTATATAATAAATATAATATATTTAGTTATATCTTATTATTATTAGTTAAATAAAAAATCTCTGCACCATTTCCGTTTAAGTCGCCTTGGAGGGCTACCTGGGATAGTGAGGGAAGATAAGTTTTTAATGAGTGGATTTGAATGAGAGGATAGACGATTATGAAATTTTTTATAAAAACGTTTAGCTTCTTCGTGAATAGTATTTAAGTTGCAATCTAAATGTAGGGTATGGTTTGATATATATGGAGGTGCGTTAAATACTTTCCTTAAGGCCTTTAGGGGACTAAAAACTAAATCTTTCACTTGATAATATCCCAGAAACATTTTATAATAATTAATGAAAGACTAATAATCTTTAACCCAAACAACATTCGAGCTAACCCAAAACCTTTACAATTTTTATTCAAAATTCCATGTGATATTTTTTTTGCCGTTAGATTTTTAATAATAACTATTTTTGGTTTAGAATTATATAAAACTTAGATTGTTATTAGAAGTTTTATAAAAAAAAATTATGTCATAGTTATACCATACTATCAAAGAAATAATTGATGAGTTAATAATATTTTATACAATATCTTATGAATTAAATTAGGTAAAACATTTTCCCTGAACTACTTAAAACCCATATAAAATGTATGAGCATTCAAATGTTTGTTTAATTTTGTAATCGGGTACACAAACACCTGAATACACCTAGCAATCGTAACTATATGGTTCTATATGGTGTCACTGAAGCATTTATACATACTTAAGCAAATATTAATTTTGCTGGCCTTTTTAATTCTAAAAAAAAGTACTACTCTATGTGACAGTAAATAAATCTTCCAAATTTATTTCACCTACTTCCTAAACTAGATCTAAGTACAAATGTACAATAATGCATTAAACAATTAAGACTACTATTATATACTTAAATAGTTAAATCAAACACTAGAAAATGTACCTAATTACTTGATGAAAAAAAGAACATTTTTTTTTAAACTGTTGACGTAACTGTACAATTTCTTTGAAAAATAATTTCAACTAAATAAAATATTTAGAAAACTAAGCAATGAATAGTTAATAAGATGATGTACTGTTATTTTTTTCTGTCTTACAAACACAGAACATAGTAAATTATTTACATTCAGCAGGATCCGTTTAGTTGAATTGATTAATATTAAATTTGAAAAAAAAAGAATATTATCTATTCTAAATACTTTACCTTTAAAACTGCTTTCAAGTAGGTATGTAAAATATTATAATTTAAAAATACTCATCTCACTTTAAAATTAAAATATGGAAATGAAAAAAACTAATGAGATTATAATTAGTAAAATCTTATATTTAAATCAACAAAAACAAACTCGGTTCTGCTAAGTATAAACTTGCTATGTTATGCAATTGTAGTACCTTCATATCAAAATAATATGAGTGTTTAGGCAATAAGAATATATCACACTGGGATAGTGGGATCCAACTTCAAAATTTAATATGTACAACATACATTTATGTTCACCAGAACCAATTTTATGTTGTTAGCTTTAATATTAAAGTGAATTGACATATTACAAATTATTAAGGTAAAAACATTATCAGGTTTGTAACAATACTTCAATTGTTAACCTAGTTCTGAGCATAATTAAAAAATTGTACATACTCATAACTTGCTTACAAATTGTAAAACCGTAAGTCAATTGCCTCTAACATTAAAGTGTACATCACAAAATGTCTATAATAAGTAGTATGTATTGTAAGATAGAGAGACCATGTGGGTGTGGTGTCCTAAGAATACAGGTACTCTTTCTTTATTTAATCATGAATCAACAAAAACATAGAAATATCCTAAAAATGACAAATGTAACTATTAATAAATTTATTTTTAAAGAAGAATCAAATAATTATTAAACATTCAATTATCTATTACTATTATAATTGCTCTTAATGGGAAAATAGAATGTGTTTTTAATGAAGTACATTAGTATTTGTTTGTCACAAGAGTACCTTATTTATTAACATTGACACTAAATTTTAAGCAAATAAAGTAAGAAATGTATTTTAAGAAATTCAAAACAAATTATTTTAATGGAACAATTTTATTGTAAAAACAAAAACTTTTCTTACAAAATATAACAATAAATACAAATATAATATTATGAATATTCAATATTCTAATATGTTATTATACATTTTACATATAAAATTTGAGGTTTAGGTTTAGGACCATTTAAAAAAATCACATCTTAAAGATTCAATTAAGTTTAAAATAGAATCAGTTGAATAATTATTTATAAGTTATAAGTACACTATAAAATTATATTTTTGAACTAAACTTAATTAGTTTAGATACTATATTTCAAATGTATCCAATGTTGTAAGCAATCAAAATATAGTACACGGAAGTTAAAACAAAAATTTTTTTGCAACTGAGTCAGTTTTATTCTTTATTGACTAAAAGTAAATATAAGGAAATAATATAATTGGCAAAAAATTATAACTTAATAAATTATTTGTTCAAAACCTTTAAAAATGAATATAATTAACAATTGACAACTTATCACTCGGTAATTATTACAAACTCGATAGAAGCGCTATAAAAATGATTTTGTTATACAAAAATAATGAATTACACTTCTAATAAAATAAACAGTATGTTTAAATTGTTGTTTTTCTTCATTATTTACATGCCTGAAATTTGATTTTATGTTTACATGTTCTAAAATCTAAACATAAAACTTTTAGTAATACATACTAATTTTCAATAAGTATAACAATAGGCACTTAATTTTCAAATATAAATTGTAAAAATACATTTTTAGAGTATATTATCTTATTAAAAATTTGAGATTTTAGTATAGCTATGATATTTCCCTCAAGATAAACACAATATGAATAAATCTTGAAATAAAAGTACATACAATGTTAACACTTATTAGACCAATCATAAAATATATATCTACAGGACCATTCAAATGCTGTGTCACTAAACTCTGTCCCACAAGAGAACTTATCGGTTATGGTACATCCCACATTACAATGTTGCCTACAATGCATTCCACTAAATTTGAATAGAATGCAAGTATGTTATATGGTAACATGGAGGGGGAATAAGACATCATATTTGACCGACAGATCTCATTCTACGTACCCCTAATCCAACCTTATATGTTCTCTGGTAGATAGACTGGATAGAATACTAAATGGTCAAGTTTACATCGATATGCTGCCATAAACTTCATAAAGCAAAAGATGACATTTATTGGTACAGCAAAAAACAACTAACTGCTTGTCTGAGGATTACATTTACATTTACTTCTTTAACAATTTGGTATATACTCACATTAAATAATTAAAACAGATACTTGAATTTACTAATCAATGGGCAAGTTGGGTAATCAAAGATGCACACATTTCAAAAAACTCCATTGTATGATGTCCTGAGCACTTTTTTTGTGGCTGTACAACAACATCTTGTCTTGGAGATTGATTTTCAACTTCTAAAGTTGGTGCAGGTAAATTTCCATTTTCTAACTGATCGTTTGTTAAACTCTTAAAATCCAACAAATAGCTTTTGTAGTCCACTTGATACAGTTGCAGTGAGATCATGATATAATTATCAGTTTTTTGATTCATGTGTCGTACTTGGACATGGTAAGGATTTATTACTTTCCATTGAAAATTCAATGCTTTCATTGCTCTATATACTTCATTCATAATATCTGTAGGTCTGCTTTGAGATCTTATGCCTAAATGCCATTTAGCTCGTTTCATTGGAGATCCTCGAGCACCTTGATCTATAGATTGAGCACGTTCTCTTTGAGATATTATTCTTTCAGGATGTGGTTTTGCAACTGCATTTAAAGTTGATGGCTCCAGACTTCCACCTGTTGGAGGTGGACTACTAGCAATATAAAAATCTTTTAATTCTGCTTTAGCTGCTTCATCGGCGATTCGTTTATTATCAATTATTAAATGATAGGCAATACCTAATTGATCATGTGGATCGCCACTCAATAAAGCATTGTGAACTTCAGAGTCTTTTACACTAAATTTTTCACAAACTTCATTAACCGCATCTGTATCAATCACTGAAGAGTCTCGATCAACTGGTGAAGGGAAAAGATATGCAGGTAGTTCGTGCTGAAACCATTCATGTTTTTTAATATCTTCAATAGACGCTCTTTTCATTGGATCTACTTGTAACATATGACATAGTAAACTAACAACAGATTTATTCAAATAATCGGGTATAGGAAAGATACCAGATTTAATTTTTCGAAATAAAGTTGGCACATGTTCATCATCAAAAGGCAAAGAACCACATAATAATGCATATAAAATAACACCACATGACCAAATATCTACCTCAGGTCCAGCGTACAATTTTCCTGAAATAACTTCTGGTGCAGCATAGTTAGGTGATCCACAGCTAGTTCTTAAAAATTCTCCATCCATCATCATATTGGATAAGCCAAAATCAGCAATTTTAACATGTAGATTATGATCTAATAATAAGTTTTCTGGTTTTAAATCTCTGTGTACAATCATGTGTCTATGACAATAGTCAACGCCAGATATGATTTGTTGAAAGAAACGACGAGCTTCAAATTCCTTAAGTTTACCATGTTTTACTATATAATCAAATAGTTCTCCACCAGACACATACTCCATTATCATGAATATATCAGTAGGTGTGCTGATAACTTGATACAATTTAATGATGTGAGGATGACGGAAGAGTTTGAGATTTTGAATTTCTCGACGTATTTTTCCAACAACATCCAGACTTTTAATCTTCTGTCTATTGAGTATTTTGACAGCCACCTTGTGTTTGGTGAGCTGATGTTCGCCGATTTTCACTTTACCAAACGTACCAACACCGAGTGTCTGTCCAAGTATATAATGACCTATTTTGACGATTGGTTGTAGTTGACTGGTGGCGGGCTTAACCTCGGCCATGTTTCCCGATGTTCTTTTAAACTGCAGCAATGGACGTACACAATATTTCTTAAACACTGGAAATAAAAATCGGCACAGCAACTACCTAATCGTGATTTTACTCAATTAAAACACGCGTTTGAGGGATCAAACCGTGATAATTTAAGGACCGCGGAAACACAACAATAATTGCATAGGAAATCGGAATATTTTGAAGGCCGATCTCAATCCCACTTATATTCGGAGAAAAAAAAATAAACACAATATAAACATTATATACACACGCAGACAAGCGCGCGCACGTAAACGCAGTGCCTATGTCTTGTAATCAAATCGATTGTATTATGAACTCAGAACTACCAGCGCGCATAACCTCATTGAGGCTCAGTGAAATTTTACCAAAATAAAAAAATCGTATAAATTACCTGTATCTTGGGGATTGAACACCAACGATCACCGAGTCACACTCGGATCACTCGCAACGATCTAGACCACGGTGAATTTTAATTACAATCCCGTTTTCATTTTTACACACTTCCAAAACAAATCACTAATCGAAGTACAAAAAAAAAAAAACAATAAAAAAATGCTTTTTTATCTACTGCAGTGTTGTCGTGCAGTGTTGGTATGCGGTAGTCCTAGTCTAAGCACTTATACGCGGTATATGGTGTGGCCGGTATTTATTCATTTTCGGGCATGCGCTGTTGGCAGTGGATTGATAACACGTGAGATAAGATTTTACGACGACGACGAGAGACGAGACAGTGACGATAACATTTTCACTTTTTACATTTACCTACATTATATTATTATTAAAATAATTCATTACGAATTACGATTTCTTGTTTTTCGCGTGTCGATCGCCGACGACTTTTAATGCGTGCTTAGTGTTTTCTAAATACGAAAGAATCGTTCACTCCGCTCCTACTTTAGTGTATTTTCTCTCTTATACACTTCAGATTACAACGTAGCATATTAAGGTTCGTAATTTTCTGTTGTTTCAACCGATATTACTCAATTTGACCAACTTTTTATGTGGTATTGTTTAAACTGTGTTACGTAGTATTCGAAATCGTCTTTGAAGCAACATTCTCATCATTAGGTTTCTAATACCTTGTAAACGTCCCCAGACAGATATTATTACAAGGTCTTCTGTGTATTTTTTTTATACACCCAAGTTGTATGTGAGCAGATATTTAACTTAGTTTTGTTCATCTTAGTAGACTGATTGATCTGTACTTAATATTTCAAATTATTTCCAATCCACAGTTTTTCCTACACAACTGTTGTTTTTATTTTCCACTAATTATTATATTGTTATTCATTTATAATGCTTTATGTTCATAAATATAAAATTATTTATTATTTATACATTTTTTGTGTACTTAATAATGTTTATAGCATCATGGCAGTGCGTAGTACTGGACCTCTTTTGTCAAGACTGCGTGACCTAATGAAGTTAAAGTATTTAGGTGAACCCATTCAAGGTTATATTGTTTTATCGGAAGATGCTCATCAAGTAAGCTTCTATTTTTGTACCTTTACCTTTATGATATTATTAGAGAATTTATTTTTTTAGAATGAGTATATTTCTGAATGTGATGGACGGCGAGCTTTTATCACTGGTTTCACAGGTTCTGCTGGTGTTGCTCTTATTACACAAAATGAGGCCTTATTGTGGACGGATGGTCGTTACTTTGTACAAGCTCAACAACAATTAGACGATAATTGGACTTTAATGAAAATGGGTTTGTGTATATTAAATAGTAAATACCTATATTTAAAAAAAAAAAAACAAATAATAAAATATGCTCTCATATAATTACAGTTATAATTCTATTTCAATTGTAAATTGACATCATTATGTCAATTATATAGAACAGTATAGTTCAAGATATTTATATTAGTTAAAATTGTTATGATTTTTCATTGGTTAGTGGTAAATTACTTGAAAAACTAGGTAGCCTAATATAAGATAAGATAACATTTAAATTTATGTAAATGTTCTTAAAAAAATGTAGTTATATAATGTTCTTATGATTAGTGTCTTAGTTGTTGAAAATAGAAGAATCACAACCCTATGTAAACTTAAGATAACAATTTGAAGACCATCTTTAAAATAACACTATACACATTTGTTATCTTTAAACTGCATAACATACCAAATTTACAATTAATTTTGTTGATCTACTATCAAAATTAAAGGTAGAAAGACTGTCTAAACTCAACATTAAGATGTATAAGAATATTGGAGCATATACTCCCTATATCCCCCCTCAAAACAAACAACCCATCAGCGGACATGTCATGATGGTCAACAATGAATTGTATCCCCGCGAAACGCAAAAACCTTTTTAAGTAGCTGACCATTTTTTGATGTGATGTGACTAGTATGTGCCTCCAGTGTTCTTATCTATCTTGATGAAATTATATTTTTGATTATTTTTTTATTCAATATTTTTATGTATGAAAAATAATTATTTTATTTTATAATTATATAATAAATTGAGGTATCATAGCTGTATCCATTCGACATAACATAAAATACATTTTTACCAAATTGAGTTTTATACAGCATACGATTAGAAAAAAAAGTCAATTTAAACCCACTTCTTAGTTTCAATTTGTTCCATTGTAGATTGTTTAATATGTGACTAACGGTTTATACTATAAAAAATTGTATGTTTACACTTTGCATTATTTTGTTATGTAAAAAAATCTATTATATTAGATTAATGTATACTTGAAAACGATAATTGTAAAATACTCGTTCAAATTAAATAATATATTTTTATGATAATTTATGTTAATAATATCAAACAATCTGTATTATTTAAAAAAAATGCATTATTAATTCAAAACTCTTACCAAGTTTAAATTAACAACTATATTCACAATAATTGTGTGTAGACATCCAACATCTATTCTTTTTCTTTAATTGGAAAAATTGTTTATGTTAAGATTACATAATTATTTATATGTTCTTTTTATGTTACAGGTCTTCCGGATACAAGTACATTGGCTGAATGGCTAACAAAAAATATGAAAGCTGGCTCTAGAATTGCTGTTGATGCTAATTTAATAACATACAGTGAATGGCGTAGAATTAATAAAGAAATAAAATATAAAGGCATTAACTTGGTTCCATTAGATACCAACCTCATAGATCGTATGTGGTCTGACCGTCCAGCTATTCCATCAAATCCAGTTAAACCGTTAAACATCAAATTTACTGGTTTGTGGATTATTATTATTTTATTTTCATCCAAAAACAAAAAAAAATGTATATTGTATTATTAATTATTATCTTGTTCTAGGAAAAAAGTGTGGAGAAAAGGTTGAAGAAGTTAGACAAAAAATGACTGAAAAAAATGCTACTATTTTGTTAGTAACTGCTCTTGATGAAATTGCATGTAAGTTTGAATATTATATTAATGTATTCATCATACCTACATTTAATTCTTTTTCAAAACAATTATTACTTAAAAGTTTGAAATTATATATTACATCAGTATACAATGCATTTATATTGTTTTGTAATTGTCTATATTTTATTTTCAGGGTTATTAAACTTGAGAGGATCTGACATAACATATAATCCAGTATTTTATTCATATGTCATTGTCACACACACAGATGTCCATTTATTTGTCGATGACAAAAAATTAGATCCAACCGTACCAGAACATTTTAAAAGTGAAAACTTATCAGTTATTATACAACCTTATGATAAACTGCATACATTTTTTAATGATATTGTAAGTTTGATATTGTTATTTGTTATTTGAATAATTATGTAAAAGTAATCTGGTATAAGTGAATACTGAATATTATTTAAACTTATAAAATTCTACATGTGCATAATTTTAGTTGGCATCAGACAATAGTAAGACTGGAAAAGTTTGGGTATCAGATCGATCTAGTTATAACTTGGTTAACATTGTACCAAAATCAAATCGCATTTCTAAACCTACCCCAATTCCACTCATGAAAGCTATTAAAAACTCAGTTGAAATTAATGGTAAATTAAAGTTGTTATCAGTCTGATGCAATACAATTAATATTTTTTTTTTCAGGTCTTAAAAATGCCCATATCAAAGATGGTGCTGCATTGTGCTCATATTTTGCTTGGTTAGAAGAAAGCATATCATTAGGAAACTTAACTGAAATATCAGTTGCTGAAAAGTTATTATCATTTAGAAGGTAATTATTGCTTAAAAATGGTATTTTAATTTAATTTCTGTTTATATTAATCATAGTTAGTGATAATTATTAATTTTAATAGTTTGCAAGAAGATTTTGTGGGTCCAAGTTTTGAAACAATTTCTTCGTCTGGTCCAAATGGTGGAATAATTCATTATTCACCAACTCCAGAAACTGATAGAAAATTGAGTGTAGACGAAATGTATTTATGTGACTCTGGTGGTCAATTTTTGTTAGTATTATAATTTTTTGTTATTAGCAACTTATTTATTTTACTCTTAATATATATTTTTATTAAAATAGGGATGGAACTACTGATGTAACTCGTACACTACATTTTGGAACACCAACAGACTATCAGAAAGAATGTTTTACTAGAGTTTTTAAAGGTCAAGCAAATTTAGCAATGAGCAAATTTCCTCACAAAATCCTAGTAAATTTTACAGTTCTATTTCAAATTTTATTTTTATTGACTTATTATGATATTTTTTTACACTTTAAGGGCAATTGTCTGGATTCATATGCACGTAGATTTTTGTGGGATGTCGGCTTAGATTACATGCATGGTACAGGTCACGGTATTGGTGCTTACTTAAATGTACATGAAGGTCCTATGGGAATATCTTGGAGAGAAATACCAAATGATCCTGGTTTACAACCAGGAATGTTTTTATCAAATGGTAATTTTTTTGTTGAAAAACTACCCATGTCCCTCCAAAATGTTTAGTATACTGGTTGTGTAAAACAAAATTAATGTTGTACATCCAGTTGTGTCAATATTATATATTATTTATAAATTACGACTAGAAATAACTACAATATTAACTGTTTTATTCTACATTCTATGACATTTTCCTCCCTGTTTATTAGATCTTCGATTAAAAACTAAGTACAATTTTATTTTCAAACAGCAAGATATTTTCCAATATATCTGTTGATAATTATAAATAAATGTATTAAATTCCCTATTTTTAACTCTATATATCATGCTTTATTCATAATAGACCAAAATGATAAAATTCTTGTATGTAAACCATTTCTTGTGGTCTCGTCTATTAGACTTAACTGATTTAAGAAACACAACATACTTCTAATTTTTTTTTATTAATCTTTAAATAATATTCATATTACAATATTTCATATTCAGAACCTGGATATTATGAGGAAGACTTTGGTATACGCATTGAAGACATTGTCTTGGTTAAAGATTCAACAACTGCCTATAAAATGCCACAGAAACCATTTTTACAATTTGAAACTGTTACTATGTGTCCTATTCAAAGTAAAATGTTGGTGATGGATTTGCTCACAGATACCGAGGTAAAAAAAGTCAATTATAATTGCTTATAATAGTGCCTTTATTAATTGTATTAAAATTGTTTAGATTGATTATTTAAATGAATACCATCGCAAGTGTTTAGAAGTTCTAACACCA